CTTCTTCAGGGCCTTCAGGGAATCTCTGGTAGAGATTGCCTGGAGCACCACCCCCCTTCCTTTGTGTCTGCAGGGCTGTTTTTCACACTTTTTCCCTCACTCCTCTCTCTCACGCTGTTCTGCACAATGTTTTTTACTCTTTCTTAAATAAACTTCCCCAGAGTCACCACCATCTTGGCTGCTGGGCTCAGCTGTGCCCTGCAGTGGGTCAGTTGGGGCCGCCTGGAACCAGCTGTGTCCGGCACGGGGCAGCCCCGGCCTCTCCTCACAGAGGCTGCCCCTGCAGCTCCCCCTTCTAAACAAAACATTGTCACGTAAAGCTATTTTTACAGGATTTCACCAGAGAGATACCTGAATTACCTCAATTTCTTTTCTGAAAAGAAGCAATCTGCAAGGCCTGGAAAAATGTGCTACTGCTTGGGGAAGAGTACAGTAGGCCTATGAGGCCAGGCAGATTGTGAATTTGGAGAAGCTCACACACAGAGCCCGTACACTGCTGCAGCAACAGGAGAGCCTTATGCCTCCTGTTCACACCCTGAGTGAACTGAAGAGGCCCCAGTCAAAGGATGAGATTTTCTGTGTTCTCGGAGAAGACTAAAAAAGAAATAAATCTGAGAGAAAAATAAAAAAAGAGTACTTGCTGTTTTTTAGAAAGTCCTGAGGAATCAAAGAAAAAAGTCAGAGACAAAAGCTGTCCTCACTGTTACTGCCCCTCAGCCTTTCAGTGTTATGACTGCTTGGTGGTACCTGGAGATCTCAGCACTTCCTCTGCTTTCTAAATGGAATATTTTTGATAAGAACTCCAACAAGGAACTGGAAATAATTTTGTGATTTTGGGGGGGAGTTTCATTTTGGTATTTTGTTCTTTGTGTAGGTTTTTTGTTTGGGTTTTTTTTTTAATCATTCATTGCTAGCAAATTGTTGGTATAAGTTACGCAAAGTCATAATAGGAATAAATGTTGTAATGAAGTACTTGCTCTATGCACATAGATTTCACGTTGGAGTAAGTGACACTGCACATAAGTGTATTGGCAGTTCTGTTCAGGAACTGCTAGCTGCATTAACTACTCCTGATCCTAGTACATTCATACTTGTTTCTTCACCTTCCATTGAAACTTTTCTGTGTGTTTCTTGTCAGATGTCAATATTAAAATTACAAAGTCCCACCTATGAGATCCTTTTATGCTGCCAGTGCATTCAATCACCTTGCAAATACCCTATCTGTCAAAAGGAAATACTGATTTCTGCCTGTTTTGTTGAATACAAAATGGTGTCTGCTGTGGCATTTGGAATCTTAAGGCAACGCATCATGGTTACCTTCTTCTCACTATTACTGCACAAGGCTATTTAAAACAAGAGGTGATGTCACACTAACAAAGGACAAATTTCTGCAGACAGTTGCTCCTGCTTCCACAAGCATTAGTAGTTCAAGTTAAAATAAATAAATTTAGAAAACAACTTTCTAAAAAGCCTTATCAAGAGGACTTGTGCAGAAAATAACTATGCATTATTACTTCTTAAATACAGATTATTTTTCAACTTATCCTGTTCTTTTTTTTGTATCTAGCTAGATTTTAAAACTTTTCAGTCAGACTTTGGTGATTTCTCTTTGCTCCTTCTAAGTGTCAATGCTGACTTAAGAACTTCCCATGTCCCCATCTTCAAATAATTCTCCCCTCCTTAATAGTTTCCAAGTTATACCTGCATAACTGATGATGGTTTATGTGCTGAGAAACGAATTAGAAAACTGGCTTTCAAAAAACATTAAAGAAAGGTTTCTTTGGTCTTTTTTTGTTGATCTGTTGTTTTGTTTGGGGTTTTTAACAAGTATTTCAATCTATTATTCTAGCACAACTAAGAAGACAATACAGCATGATTTGGGGTGAGGAAATAGCAGGGAATAGAGGAAGGAATTAAGAACATCATAAGCCAGAACTGCGCCTGAAACATTGATAATCTAAACCCACTGGCAATTCCTGAAGAAGTTTATTCCCCTTTGATTTCACTAGGAAATGAAAGTCAAATTACTTTTGAGCTTCAGGCCTGGATTGCTGATCAAGATTAGAGTGTACAGTTCTGTTCTGTGACATAATCTACAGATTTTTAGTTGCCATAAAGGTGCCAACTTTAGGAATAGTATGAGTGTATAGTGATGGTAACAGAGCTTCCCTTTTGCTCACAACACTGTATACCTCCTTTCCCCAAAAAATGGGATTGAGAAGAGGAAAGAGAAAAATGAAACGGAGAAACTGGCCTCATGATCAGTGAGGCATTGCAAAATAGGTTTATTTTCTGCTACTGGCAAATATTTGATTCTAATGGCAAAAAATTGCAGTCACCCATATTTATGTGCAGATGAACAGTGTTCAATCTATTAGCTTGAGTTATTTGTCACCATTTAAACTTGGTATTTATTCTCTGTATCTGCCAGCCAAATACTGTAAATGTCTAAGGGACCAAGCCTGTGCTGATCTCACTGCAGGAGTGGTAGTGATATTTGTTTGTTTTACTCAAACAGGTTATTTGTAAAATTTTGGAAGTATTACTGTAAGATTAAGACTTTGTCTTTGAAGCTTAAAAATTAGGCATTTTTAAATTCCAGATCAAAATAGCATTTCAGATTTAGTAAAAGTTAAAAAACCCATTGAGAATAAGAAGGTACAAAATGAAGTATAAATAAGTGAGCAATTGTGACACTTTTATATATATACAAATTTATGTTTCAGAAAAACTAAAATGACCCACCTTTGTGAATATTATTTGGGTAATTTTCAGGTTTCTTAGTTATTCAATGGCAGTTTTCCTTTGACAGGATCTGATCACTTCTAGGCGAGAAGAGGTTAAAGGATATCTTACTTGGTTGGGAACTGGGCACCTAAGGTGCCCAAGAAAGTCTTTTTCCCCTACTGTACTGGAGAAGAGAGGGAATATTTCTAGGACTGTGAGTTCCTGCAGCTGTTGCTCTGATTTGGGAACTGTCTGGTTAGGGACCATAGTTAAGATTCAATCTCCCATTATAAAAAGGAAGACAAAACTGAAATAGCATTGATGGTTAGGTGAGCTTGTCTTCAGGGAATCAGGGTGGTTGGGAATTTTCTGTAGAGCCAGCTATTCCCTAATGCCAAGCTGTAAAGTCAGTCCCTGGTAGGATCCAAGATAGGCAGGACTTGGTCATAGCTGTGTTGCAACTTCAGTTTGCCATCTAATGTCCTTGTTCTTTTAGGCTACGAATTACAGCATTTGCTGGTGGTGTGGTAGCTCACCTACTTTGGGATAAAGTTATTTGTGGCATTTTTAACATAGTTGTATGTCTGTTTACTAAAACAATTTTCTTGCCTTAGTTAAGAACAGTGCAGACTAGCACTTCTCTGGTAACAGAGTGTACTCTGGTTTTTTGCAAGTTTAATGATGAACTTTTAACTGCAGCACGTCAAAATATAGTGGAAAGTGATAGGTGTGATTTCTTTCCTACAAACTGTCTGGTTTTTATGTTACTGTAAAAACTAATTACTGTGCGCAGTTTTGTACAATTTTACAAGAACAATACATTCCATAGAAGAAAATGAAAAGGTTTTACATTGTTTGCAACTTGCTATGACTGTGATGGCGTATTGAGCCAAAACTGTGAATATTTGTGTGAGCTTTGAGCTTACCCTTAGTTACTTTGATGATTTTGATTTTTTTAAAATTTTAACTTTTGACTTATAATCAGGTAAAAATTTGATCCATTAATTTATAGCTTTTTAATTTATTCTGCTAATGAGCAAAGCTGTAAAAACAGAAGTAGTAGAGAGGGATACAAGTGAATACAGATTAAGAAGACTAGACAAGAGAAGTTACTAGACTAGGAAAAAAGCCAGAAAGTTGGAACTGTGAATTGATATTTTTTATAAGCAGAACAAAGAAGACTTATGTTTGCCAACAACAAATGTAATTAATATAGCAAAAGACTACTTCTAGAACCTAGACACAGGATTTTTGGCATCCTGTGGGATGTTTAATTCAATTAGTTTAGTAATGCTCACTAATAAATCATCCTGTATACACCCAGCTGGAGAGCTTATAGAAAAATAAGTTGTTTTTTCACAATTCCCCATGGATATCTGAATTTACATTCTGTCAAAGCAACTGTAGTACCTGCAGGAAATCTGAGTGCCCTTGGATATCCTTAAAGAATTAAACCTTCTAAAGTTACAGGAATGTGAAAATAAATTTAAAATACTGGATTTAGCTAGACTATTTGGGTGGCAGCAGCAAAATAAAACTCCTTTGGGATATAGGCAAAACCTAGGTTTCTGTGCTCAAGGGCAAAACCACATTTTTGCACTGGCAATTGCACTAACTAAACTCTCCTGTACTTCTGGAGAAACATTAATTTGCTACTACTTTGCATGGTTTGAATTTGATGACTTTCACATTAGCTTTATCAGAGGGAATTGTTACGATGTGAACACATAAATGTTTCTACATGTTTCTATTTGCAATATTATGCATTAATTGATAATAAGCATTTATCAGGAAATACTGATAAAAGGCTTGTGTGTGTTGGTTAATATAAGTGATTTTTTATTCTGTCCAGAATTGTCTTACTAATGTGGCTTTTTTCACTGCAATAGGCCCTACTATAAAAACTTAGAAGGAATAATTGTATAAACTATGTCTCGAAAACATGCTTTAAAATTTTAGTAAAGGAATCATGAGTGGGAAGCACATACTCATGGCTGTAAGACTGTGTATATAAAAATATATTTGCATTTCTACAAGATTAATTAGTAGGAATAAGTGTAGTGTCAAGACTGAGTATGAGTTGTAATCAAAAGATCTCTATTTCTATAAGAAACTGCCCCAAATTAGAGACTTTTGCTTATCAGACAATAAAAAAAGTCCAACACTCTTTTTCTAATCTGCAGATTCAGTCTCTTGCACTTGCTGTTGATATGAATGAATAAGTAATGTGTTTTAAAGCTGTGTAGTCAATGTATTATTATTTCTCTCCTCAGGAATGTGAATCTGCGCCCTGCATTAACAGAGGTTCTTGTCAAGATGCGGTCAATGCATTTGTTTGTACTTGCCTGAGTGGGTACACTGGCAGGTTTTGTGAAGTTGATGTTGATGTTTGCAGTGAGCCCACGCTGAACTCAGTTCTCTGTTACAATGGAGGTGTATGTGTTGATGGACCTGGAACAACTTTTCATTGCAGGTTAGTATCAATACTGTCATATAACTGCTTTAGTTAATACACATTGATTTGCTAAGATTTCAGGGTGGTAGTGTTACTATGTGCAGTATGTGAACTCAGTTGGATTTGATACTCAATCTAGTGCTTAAAAATATTGTTATCTTAAACCATTCACTGTTTAACATCAGGCCCTTTATCTGGAAACTTATCTTCTAGTGCTTTTCAGAATTATATGTGGAAGCTTCTAACATAAACCCACCCCAAAAAATTTAAAATCATTATGTTTACAGATATGTATGTACTCCTGTGTTTTGTACGCAAGTTTTGTACGCAAAGAGAAAATTGATTTGCAATCAAATTTAGGTGACAGGTAGTTTGTATAATATGTGTAGACAGACATATATCCAAAGAAATTTCCTATGATCTATCATCATCCTCCTCTGGCTGTTTAAGGCTTCTGACTAAATACATGTAATCTTATAGCTTATATACTTGTAATATAGCAAAACTCCTTTAAAATTAAGCTACTTTATAGATTGTATACATTATTCTCTACTACATCTTATCAACTCACAAATATTGTCTAAGTCCCTATTCAATTGCTACATTTGTAGAAATATTAAATACTAAGAAAATATTTTATAAACATATTAAGAATGAAGCATAAATATCTTCCCCTATACAATCATGTGTTCAATGTCTGGATTTTGATTGATGGCCAAAATTGAAGCTTAAGGATAATATTTTTATTTTAAAAAAAAACACCTGCACCTGTTGATCCTTTGTGTCCTTCTGTTAATAGTTATGGAATTTCATTAGTATTCAACAGAATTAACAAGGCAAATGGTCCACTGACAGCCAGGAATTACTGTTGTTGTAATTTAAACAAATATTTGCATTGATTGCTGGCATTGTTTTACAGAATCCGAGAGGATCATAATCTGTGATCAACTTCTATCCTACAACTAAATGGTGAAGTTAAAATGACTCGAGGCACACAAACACATTAACAGATAAAATCTCCACATGTCAAACGAGATACAATAATTATATTCATGATCATAGAATCACAGAGTATTTTGAGTTTGGAAGGGACCTTTAAAGATCATCTAGTCCAGCCCCATGCCATGAGGCAGGGACATCTTTCGCTGGATTAGGTTGCTCAAAGCCAAGTCCAACCTGACCTTGAGCACTTCCAGGGGTGGGGCATCCACAACGTCTCTGGGCAACCTGTTCCAGTGTGTCACCACCCTCATCATAAAAAAAGTCTTCCTTATATCCAATCTAAATCTACCTTCTTTCAGTTTAAAAACATTGCCCTTTGTCCTGTCACTGCAGGCCCTGAGAAGTCGTCTTTCTCCATCTTTCTTATAAGTCCCCTTTATACATTGAAAGGCTGCAATAAGGTCTCCCCAGAGCCTTCTCTTCTCCAGGCTAACCATCCCCAACTTTCTCAGCCTTTCCTCATAGGAGAGGTGTTCCAGCCCTCTGAACATTTTCATGACCATCCTCTGGACCCACTCCAACAGGTCCATGTCTGTCTTGTACTGGGCACTCCAGAGCTGGACACAGTACTCCAGGTGGGGTCTTACCAGAGTGGAGTAGAAGGGGAGAATCACCTCCCTCGACCTGCTGGCCACGCTTCTTTTGATGCAGCCCAGGATACGATTGGCCTTCCGGGCTGCGAGCGCACATTGCTGGCTCATGTCCAGTTTTTCATCCACCAGTACCCCCAAGTCCTTCTCGGCAGGGCTGCTCTCGATCCCTTCATCCCCCAGCCTGTATTGATACTGGGGGTTGCCCCGACCCAGGTGCAGGACCTTGCACTTGGCCTTGTTGAACTTAATGAGATTTGCATGGGCCCACTCCTCAAGTCTGTCAGGGTCCCTCTGGATGGCATCCCTTCCCTCAAGCGAATCAACTGCAGCACTCAGCTTGGCATCATCCACAAACTTGCTGAGGGTGCACTCAATCCCACTATGTCACTGATGAAGATACTAAATAGTATTGGTCCCATGATAACTCAAATATATTATGGTTTAGCTTAAACCTCTCAATACATGCTAAAATAATTCACATTAGCTTATTTCTGCAGTGGGCTTCTACCTGCACAAAGACTATTTCTGTGGCTCAGATGTCTGGTAATTTATTTAGCACCTATTGTTTGATCATCAGTCTGAAAATTCAATCCTGTGCATTCTACTATTTCTTCTTTCCTGGCTCACGTTCACTCTAGCCTCCTTTTTTCAAGCTTTGGGTGCTGCAGCATCCTTTCTTCTTTCACAAATTAATCTTTTGAATTAAATGAAATTACTTTCATTTCTCCTCTCTTCTGCTTGGGAACTTACGCCAAACATTGTGAGGGTAACTACCTTGCACTTGCTTCTGACCCCAACATTGGCCATCAGGAGGAGCTGTTCATGGAATCAGAGTCAGGAAAATTGTGAACAATTAAAATCAGGATTTTTAGTGTTGCCAAGATCACAAATGTTTTCATGAGTGATGTAAGACTATGGTGAGGTAAGTTGATGTGATATATGGTTGTGATCCTGCAAAAAGAAGTGCCATACTTGATACAAATTTCTTCTTCTGAGGGGTTCTGGGGAAAGGACTTTTTTCAGCTGATTGCCTCTTCTATGTTGGTATGCTTCAGAAGACAGACATAACTCTCTTATCCTTCAGCAGCTGCTAGCATTCCAAGTAATGTGTACAAGGTGGAAATAAGAAACATAAAAAGATCATTAAGTCAGGTTTGCTCCTGTACTGTGAACATTATGATATGAACACTTCTTTTCTACCATACCTTCTGCTTGCTTTAAGCAGTCTGAACAAAACCCATGTACAGACTGGAGAATAGGACTGCTACGGAGGATGGAAAAGCAGAATAATTGAAAAATAAGGAAGGAAGAAATAGCTCCTACTCTAGCAATCCAACATTTGAATGAATCCAAATTTGAACATCCAAATGAATAAGGAGTCTTAATGCCTTTTACACACTCACTGTGGGATGGGCAGGAGGAAAGACAAAATCCAGTATCGTTTAGAGTCTCCTTGTTTCGAGGATCTGGCTTGGGATGTTTGTATTATTGTGGCTGGTAAACCTGGACATAGCAAGTAATGAAAAGTGTCCAGTAATGGGTAAGTGTCAAGCTGCCTTAACTGTGGGCAGCACTGCCAGCTTCAGCTATGATGTATGTGATATTTTACCCAGTAGTATAGTGAATGGTTCAACTTTTCTTGAATTATGTGGGAATCAATTACATGAACAACCCTACAGGCTTTTTCCTGAAATGAATATGAAAAATACTCTTTGGGATAGCCCTTGAATTGTGTGTTATCTGAAATATCTTTCTCTTTTCAAACCCTTGGTTTAAAATTAAAACAACTCAATGGAAATGAGAGGGGTGCTGGGAGTTGTAATTCAGTTCTATCCTGGGCAGACTGCCACTGAATCAGGGCTTCAGGAAACAGATTAGCATCTGAAAGGATGCCCACCTAGAAAAATACTCTTTGGGATAGCCCTTGAATTGTGTGTTATCTGAAATATCTTTCTCTTTTCAAACCCTTGGTTTAAAATTAAAACAACTCAATGGAAATGAGAGGGGTGCTGGGAGTTGTAATTCAGTTCTATCCTGGGCAGACTGCCACTGAATCAGGGCTTCAGGAAACAGATTAGCATCTGAAAGGATGCCCACCTACCTTGCTTTGTATTTAGTCTTTGATGATTAAAAGAACTGGCTGCCACAACAACAAACACTATATAAATTAGCAGATTAATAATGAAGTTGTCATTGGGCTCAGGGGGGCTTTCAGAAGACAATTCAACCCAACCTACATATGGTTGATATAATGAGTATGTAATAGGAATTCTGAAGCCTTTTCATAGTATTTTCCAAGGATTTTAAGGAAGAGAAACTTTTCCACATAAAATACTGATTTTTTTCATTATATTTAATCCACAGTTGGTTCTTCCTCACTTTTGCATCTTTTGGTCCCAGACCATTCAGTATGTTTGGCTTGGGATTTAAAAAAGTAAAAATAATAATTAAAAAAATTCCTCTCTCCCCATGCATGCTCGCACTGAGCCTTTTTCAAATGTGCACTTCAGGTACTTCCTGCTGACTAGGTTCAGATCATACTATCTTGAGAAGGATTATCTGTGCAGTGCTTTCAGTCTGATGAGGTGAAAATAATGTCAACAGTCTTATGACAGGCCTTGCCTTAGATTAATTGTTGAATATTATAGCTTTATTGTACTTTTTCAGCACATTATAGCACATTTCGTTTTTGTAATATTTTTGTATCTGGGTTTCAGCTGGGATAGAGTTAATTTTCTTCCTAGTAGCTGGAACAGTGTTGTGTTTTGGATTTAGGATGAGAATAATGTTGATAACACACTGATGTTTTAGTTGTTGCTAAGTAGTGCTTACACTAGTCAAGGACTTTGCAGCTTCTCATGCCCTGCCAGCGAGAAGCTGGGAGGGGGCACAGCCAGGACAGCTGACCCAATTTATCATTATTATTATTATTTTCCCTTCCTTTTCTGTCCTATTAAACTGTCTTTTTCTCAACCCACAAATTTTACTTTTTTTTTCCCCGATTGTCTCCCCCATCCCACTGGGGGGGCGGGGAGGGAGTGGGC